TAAAAAAGAAAAGATTTACATTCACAGTGTGAATTGTGCAACAAATAATATTTTTATAACACTGTGGGGGTCTGTTATCTGCTGGAGCAGTCATTATCTACCTTCTTGTTACAACCCCTACAGGGTGCTTTATATGAAGCCAGCTGCTTCTCCACACTGGAGGACCGCTCCACCTTCTTGGGGTCGAAGGGCACGCGACAGAGGGGGCAGAGAGGTGAGGTCACCTGGAGACAGGGCTGCAGACACTCCCCACAAAACCTGGAAAAGCAAACAGCAAAGGTAACATCTTTACTCAGGCCAGCAGAGCGCTGCTGGCTCCTCCACTGTCACTCTCGTTTAAATCCATCTTCAAAGGATTTCTTTCACAATTAGGCTGTTTTTAAGTTTCCTGGGTAATTACATAAAAGTCACATGTCTCTTATTCATCAATGCTTTGCAGTCTGACTAAAACAGAAAAAACATACAGAAGTTCCACTTGCAGTTCATTCAAAGCTGTTGTCAAATATTTAGCTGAGCTCAGGTGGCAGTAAAACTCAGAGGAACCCAAAGGAAACCATCCAAATTTGTGGCTCAAGCACTTAATGATCAGATGGGTGTTGCTATTCTTCTTTCTGTTTATTCATTTTCCTTCTTCCTTCCTGTACTTGACCAAGGACTGAACAAGTTAAACAAACCTGCACAGACAGCATGCTAACAGTCAACAAGAGCCCAGCTGAGTGAGTGCAGACCCCAGCACACAGAACTTCAACACATATCTATCTTATCACCAACGGTGATGAGACGGCTTACAGGGAGGAGGTCAGCGCCCTGACCCACTGGTGTCAAGACAACCATCTCACCCTCAACGTCGCAAAGACAAAGGAGTTGATAGTGGACTTCCGGAGGTGCAGAGAAGTACACACCCCCATCACCATCAATGGTGCTGCTGTGGAGAGAGTGAGCAGCTTCCGGTTCCTTGGCGTACATCTGGCTGAGGATCTTACGTGGTCAGTACACACAAACAAAACAGTGAAGAAGGCGCAGCAGCGCCTCTTCTTTCTCAGGAGACTGAAAAGATTCGGCATGAGCCCCCGCATCCTCAGGACCTTCTATCGCTGTGCCATTGAGAGCATCCTCACTGGATGCATCACCACCTGGTATGGCAACAGCACCGCCTACAACTGCAAAGCTCTCCAGCGAGTAGTGCGGTGCTCTGAACGGATAATTGGAGGTGAGCTTCCCTCCCTCCAAGACATCTACAGGAAGCGCTGCCTGAGGAAAGCGGGGAGGATCATCAAGGACTCCAGTCACCCCAGCCATAAACTGTTCAGACTGCTTCCATCAGGAAGGAGGTTCTGCAGCATCCGGTCCCGTACCAGCAGACTGAGAGACAGCTTCTTCCACCAGGCCATCAGACTGCTGAACACGTCATAGACACCTCAGCTTCACTACTGGAACTTCAACATTATGCACTCCATACTGTACAGTAATGCCACTGTTTTGCACATATTCAACTCTGTATATTTTATATATTTTATTATTAATATTATTATTATTATTATTATTTATTTATTTTTTAAATTTTTTTTTAACTATTTAATTTGTAAAAATGTGTACACACACACACACACACACACACACACACACACACACCACACACACACACACGTAGGAAAATATTTAGTATACACATCCAGAAATGCATACACTATTATATATTGTACATATATTTATTAGTTTCAGGTTGGCCATTCTTGTATTTTGCTCGTTTGTGTTGTTGTGTTTGCACATCTCTGTTGCTTGTGGGGCTCGCACACAAGAATTTCACTCGCATGTGCTGTGCCAGTGTGCCTGCACATGTGATGTGACAATAAAAGTGATTTGATTTGATTTGATCAATTTAAATATACTTAAAAAATCAAGACGTAGTCCTGTGTTTATGAGCTCATGAACAATAGTTTACATAAAAGACGGCTGCTATAAACATCTGATTTAAAGATACAAGCTCTTAAATAATCAGGCCCCATCTTATCTTAATGACCTTGTAGTACCATATCACCCTATTAGAGCACTTGGCTCTCGCTCTGCAGGCCTACTTGTTGTTCCTAGAGTATTTAAAAGTAGAATGGGAGGCAGAGCCTTCAGTTTTCAGGCCCCTCTTCTGTGGAACCAGCTTCCAGTTTGGATTCAGGAGACAGACACTATCTCTACTTTCAAGATTAGGCTTCAAACTTTCCTTTTTGCTAAAGCATATAGTTAGGGCTGGACCAGGTGACCCTGAATCCTCCCTTAGTTATGCTGCAATAGACTTAAGCTCCCATGATGCACTGGGTGTTTCTTCTTCACTCACTATGTATTAACAGACCTCTCTGCATTGAATCATATCTGTTATTAATCTCTGTCTCTCTTCCACAGCATGTCTTTATCCTGTCTTCCTTCTCTCACCCCAACCAATCACAGCAGATGGCCCCGCCCTCCCTGAGCCTGGTTCTGCCGGAGGTTTCTTCCTGTTAAAAGGGAGTTTTTCCTTCCCACTGTCGCCAAAGTGCTGCTCATAAGGGGTCATATGATTGTTGGGTTTTTCTCTGTATCTATGAAGCGCCTTGAGGCGACTTATGTTGTGATTTGCTGTATAAATAAAACTCAAATGAACTGAATTGAACGAACATGATGCTGCACATTAAACAGTATACACAGTATTTAAAACGAGCTCAGTCTTAAACATATGAAGCACTAACATTAATTGATTGAACATGGGGACACATTTTTCTGCAGGATAATTATTTTTTTCTTCACAATAGAGTTTTTTGTGTACTGAGGTGATTCATAAATGGAAAGGTCTGTAAAATTCCTCCACTGCTTGTTATTTTCAGCTAATAATAAATGCTTGGTGAATGCTGTCACTGCATTCAGCTAGAACATCACGTCAGTAGTAACGGCACCCGGGTATTAACATTAAATCAGTGTGCAACTAAACCGTGTCGGAGTTTGTGGTTTTCTCTGGTCTTTCCCAGTCAGAGCAGCAGGGACACGTTCAGCTCTCACTTCTAAAAATCTGTCCAACTTTATTAAAACCTCCAAAATGTGACAATCCAGAGTTGGGACCAGGAAGCAGAGCAGTCTGCTATCTTCTTTGTGTTGGACTACAGCGAGTAGATGCAGACTCACCCGGCCTACAAACGCTCCACAGCATACAATCTGTGTTCGATTCAATTTAATGGATATTTAATATATTTTATTTAATGGAGGTATATAAACCAAACTACAGATATTTCACAGCCAGGACATCACAGAGTGTTAATGAGTCGACTATAATCGAAGACTAATATGCTGCACAGTGTATAACATGAGAGGAGCATCGCTGAGTCACTGCAGCAGGACAGCAGCAGTGAACCAGTCCTGATGTAAACAGGACTATATGATATTTATGCTGACACAACATAAATAAAATGAGCCTTGATTCTGTGTTTCTGTGTCGCTGCTGAAACGATTTCTGTCTCAGCACACTAAAGAGCTGACATCTCTTTACCAGCCTCTTCAAGGCTGGAAGAAACAGATTGCAAACCACCTTTACTGAGGTCAAGTGTGTCTCTAACACAGTTTATTCAAAAATAGAAACAGAGATGATGACAACCAGATGCCGAAGATCTAAAATTATTATTCAAAGCTGCAGAGAGTGATGCACATGATGGGACATCGTGCTGAAAGTTCAGCTTAGAAGGAGCGAAGAAAAGAAATCAACTTAATCAAAGAACTGAGAGCCAGCAAATGTGACAGGAAGGAAAAGGATTCAGAGCACTGGGTTTATCCAGAAAACTCCCACAAACACGAGTGTCAACACAGCATCAGCACGAAATGAGCTGAAGGAGTACTAGGACCAAGTCAAGAGAAGAAATATTGTTGACCATTCTGAGATTAAAGTCAGAAATGTGACCTAAAAGCTGAGTTTTTAAAAGCAGACGATCGTTGTTGTTCAGTGAGTCCTGTAATCTCCCCGTGTGGAACCAACACTCGTCGGTACACTTCAACCTTTGGAGACCGTTACTCTGAAATCTGGATTAGTGAAATATTTATCCATTCTTGTCTTAAACTGACAGGATGTTGCCATCATTTTAAAAATAGAAACGACTGGCATTTAGGTCCTGCATGTTAAACCCTTTTGTACGTGTGTGGAGGGGAACGTGAGAGAACAACACTGCACACTCCATCTGCTTTCAGCTGCTCTCTGCAGCAAGTAGCTGAACTGGTTTGAACCCAGTTCCTGGCACAACCCGAGGATGAGGCCAAGATTGAACTCTAGGTCTTCTGCTTGTTTGGCTCACCAGTGGGCCTACTGGTGTCACGCACAGTTATAGTTTAATTTGACAGTCTTGTAGTGCTGACAATGGATAAGTTACCGTTTATAAACATTTTACTGTCATCTGAAAGTGTGCGCGTGCATGCACATATAAACTCCGTGCACGCACGCGCACGGATCGTCGTGTTCGGGCTCGGTGCCGTCAGAGGATGCTGATGGACACATAAACTTACTCAGGTCAGCTGCTGTAAAGACACACATGTGTTCTTCGATAGAAGACCACAGCTGGACATGAAAGTGACCGTTCACGGTCATTTACGTCCACGCACGACAGCAGAAAGCAGAAGAACAAGCGGCTACTTTACGTGTGAGCACAGCTGGCGATGCTGACGGGTTTGTGGTAGACCTCCAGGCAGATGGGGCAGGAGAACTGGCTCTCGATGCTCTCCGCCGGGGCTGCCAGCGAGCCCGGGCCGCCGTTGGGCTGCTGCTGCTGGCGGAGCTGGGAGCTCGCCGACACAAAGCTCCTAAACATCGCCATCATGGAGCCGCAGACGACCTGAAATCGTCGACAACTGCTCGGTGCCCGAAAGAGGAAGCGGTCCAAGCACTCAGACAGCTGGTAGCTAGTGCTTCATGTCGGGAGTTTGAACTAACGTTCTGCAAACATGATGGCTTTGGCTCGACATAAAATCCTCCACTGAGCACAGCATCACCTTTCCGCGGCTGAGAAAGACACGCCGAACAAGTAAACAGTGGGAGTGTTGTTGGCGAGTGTGCGCACGATGCCGCGAGGATGAGCTGAACAAACAAAGTGAGCTACGAAAGCAACGCGCAAGCAACGCGCAAGCAACGCGCAAGCAACGCGCAAGCAACGCGCAAGCAACGCGCAAGCAACGCGCAAGCAACGCGCAGCGCCACAGAGCCGCTCGCTGTCAGCTGCCAGCGGACGCGCGCGAGGCAGCCACAACAAACAGCCTGTGCGCGCGACGCTTTCTGGAAGCTGGAGTTCTTCTTCTTTGGTGTTTATTGGCGGCTGCTCGGTGCATTACCTCCAACAACTGGTCTGGCATGTGGATCGAGCCTATCATACAAATGCGTTTGTCTAAGATGAAGAGATATTCCCTGATAATTTCCCGAGTTATTTCTAAATCAGTTAAATCTAGTTTCAGTTCGATTCTGTTTGGGTTTTGAATCCGTTGTCTTCCTTCTTCCCGACAGTGTCATATAACGAGCTGCTTTGGCTCATCGCCACAGTGCTCACGCTTTCCAATGTTTGCCTGAAATGAAGAGTGTGCGCTTCGGCCCAGTGTGCCCAAATCTGAGACATGAAGTCATCCTCTCCTCCTCCCCCGTCTCCTCGTTTCTCCAGCTGTTTGATTTCGATGAATATATCTGGTCTACTTTCTGAATTGTAAACGTACTAATGATGAACTGGAATCTGAACAAATGACTGGTCTTAATGGTGTGGTGTCTTCAACCCAGTGGCTGATAAGGTTACAAGCATTTCTCCTGTGTGTAGCGAGTCCATCATTTATCAGTTTCCCTACTTTGATATTAAACTCAGGTCAAAGTAAAAGCTACTCTATACTCTTTACAGTTATACACAAATATATTTCTGTACTGTACGTGGGTTTAAAGTAAACTCCTCATCCTCATTTCTCTTTTCCACCAAAGTGAAATCTACTGTAGCATCTGGAGGTATCCACAGCTGTATTACTGCTAAAGGTTCTATTTAACTTGAGCTTGATTGCTTTTGGTTTCACAGTCCAACCAAAACTCCTCATGTTTTCTTAGACCCAGCAGGGTTTAACCATTCCCCGAGTTGGATGCGCCTCCATCACCATCTAAGCTTTCCCGGTAATTTAATGTCAGTTGCTCTTTTCTAATATTAAGTACTATAGACATGCATACTATATACTTCTCAGAATAATTATTTCCTATCCTTACTTGTGTTTGCCTTCCAGAGAGAAAATCCTTGTCTACATTCACCCTGCGATGCCATCTTCCTCATTTGGATGAATAAACCTTGTCTCCACATCGTACCCTGTGCTTTTTCAATTTCAAAAGTGTCTGTGTCATCTTTGCCTGGCGTGCAGATCTTTACCATTACTGCTTCTTTCCGTTTCCCAGATTTTATTGTAAATAATATTCTTTAGTCACAAAGTTGACTTCTCGTTAGATAACAAACCTGATCTTCGTGGTGACTCTGATTTGAGAGGTCCATTTATTGAATCATTTACATCTGCGTGTTCTAATAACTCTCTATTCTCTGACGTTTCTCTTCCTGTTTTCCCTTCTACAGTAATATTATCTGAACTACGTATTTTAACAGATGTTTAGCCACCAGCTATGCTTTTCTGTCAAGCTCCAAGTGAGCGGCTCGTGTTTCCCCAGTTCCGCACCTGGCCGGGGTCCTGGCCACTCCCACTCACCTGTTCCTCATTCCGTGGCAATCAGTGTGGCCTACCTTAAAAGCTTATGAATCCGATTTAAACCATCTCTGGAGTCTTTCATTTAAAAAAAAACCCAAACCCCTACAAGAATTGTGTTGTTGCCATTTATTTATAAAGGTAGTAATGTTATGTTACCAGGGGAACAACAGCCTGTGCAAGAAAGGTTACATTAAACTAACCATCAGCAGGGATAATGTGTGTTTTTAGTTTGAATATGTGCATAGTGCATTGTCATCTAATACGAGATTTCTGGTATATGTAATGATTGCTTTTATCCATTTGCCTCTTTGAGGCTATGATAGCGGTTTTTCTGCAATGATTCTGGGTTTCATTGATATGTGAGGGTACATAAAAACAACACTTACAGTTGCAAAACATTTAAACCTCACTGAGAAAATCTAAAATACAAAGTCACCATATCAGATAGTTAATAGTTACAGTTTGGTACTTAGTTTTCTTGCTTATATTTCGAAATGTATATAAAAGGATAAGCCCATTTCTACTTATATTGTTTATACTTAAAGACAGGGACAACAAAACAATGTCTGCGCCATAACGGCAACACTGAGGTCACGCTGTAACACGTTTACATCACCTGAGTGACGTATACACCTGTGTCTGCAAGAAAACACTTTCCAGGATTTTAAACAAACAGCCTACTCTCCACACCACTAGGTGGCGACATACCTCACGGTGTACCAAAGAAGCGTTTCCTACGTCATCAAACAGCGACACGATTCAGACACGAGCCTGTGGTGTGGAGGCAGTGGGTCAGTGCTGGTCTGCTGATGAAAAGAATCAGCTGCTGGAGCTTTCACTGATCTGGCAGTTGGAGCTCGCTTTGGCTGTTTTCTCTCCTAACGGCCGCGATGTGTCAGGTGGAGGAAGATTACCGGGGGGAGATGGAGCGCGCCGCCGCGCCCAGGTAGGCTGAGGTCTACAGTGCTGACAATAAGTATGTTTATGGATGATAAAAAGGCCCAGCGATGAAACGCAGATAAGCTTAGCTGGGATTTGATCGATATCATAACCGCATTAGTTTGGATATCACATGGAGGGGAATAAGAGTCCAGCAGCTGGGATGTGTCTGTGAATGTTGTAGCCAATTCATCTGCATCGTTTAAAGTGCTAAGATCCGTAAAGCTTAGCTTTATCACATGCATTCATGAGAACAGCTTTAAATAATGAGTCTGCGATAATGCAGAGACAGAGCTGCTCATCAGTTCTGTCCGGAGCCGCTGGTTGAGTCTACGTCCAGATTTAAGCATCTTCTTCTTTGCTGATCCTTAGTTATTATTACCTCTAAGTATCTCACTTCATTTTAACCTGTACATTACAAATACATGTACTGGAACGTCCCTTAATAGCTTCAAGTTCACACTTGATAATATTGAGATCAGAGGAACACTTGTCCCAGAGCAGCAGGCCATCTGAGCCCAAAATCGTCGCTTCCCCAACCCGTACGAAAAGGTGTAAAAACATTCGTGTAATAAGTCAGGACGCCGTAAAAACTCCACCTGAACTCTGCACCGAACACCAGCCAGGTCATGGAACACCGCCCTTTACGTCACGGGCTGTGCAAACCGGCGTTTTGGGCCGTAGCTGAGCTCGCTGTGGTGGCATATCAGTGACACTGGGGACACTCATCCACTTAATTTAAACTCCATTCAGAGGAGGAGTGCAGCCCACTCCAGTTCATCCAGGTTCACTTTGTTTGCCTCTGTAGATGGAGGAGGTACAGTCTGTGTGCTAAGCCCACCGTGGAGTTTTGATGTTTTTTAAACATAAAGCGAACAAAAGGCAGAATGCTGTGACTGAATCAGCAGACCTCCTGTTCATCTGGACGTAGAGAAACGTTTCATCATCACCAGGTGACTCCTTCAGTCAGTCTGCAGGTTTCCAACCTTAGACTGACTGAAACTAGCTGGGAGGTCAGTTTATAATCATCCATCCACTTCCGCTGGAGCCAATCCCAGCTGTCATAGGGCGAGAGGCGGGGTGCACCCTGGACAGGTCGCCAGTCTGTCGCAGGACTAACGCACAGGGACAGACAACCATTCACACTCACATTCACACCTAATGGCAATTTGGATTATCCAATTAACCGATAATGGGAGGAAGCCGGAGTACCCGGAGGGAACCCACGCAAACACGGGGAGAACATGCAAACTCCACTCCACACTGTTGCTGTGCGGCAACAGTGCTAACCACCGTGCTGCCCAGTTTATAATCATTGATGTGGGAATGATCATGATCATTGATCATTGGCCGTGAGTGCCGTTCACAGAGAGTTGGGGAATGGCCTCAGGGCCCTTTGTTCCTCAGTCATAACCAGACGGGTTGAAATGTGGGGATTTTTGGCTGAGATGACCTGCAGGATTCTCTGGAGGTTTATTTATTTACACACTGAAACTCAGCATCACAGAAGCGGACCTCTCTCTCATATATGAAGCCACAGCAGAACTTACAAGCTTCAATGCAATTCCTGAAGTGATCCTGATATTAGGAAAATAGTAAAGACGCTGTGTTTACTGAAAATAGAATAAACGCAGCATATCAATTATTGAAACTGAGAAATGGTTTCAGTAAACACTTCACTTCAACAACACTAAATATGTTTAAAAATGCTTATCGTATAAATGAAAAACAACCTTAGTCATGCATCACTATTTGCTACAACTTAAGTCTTTGGAACTCTGCTGGAGGAACCATGGAGAACCACAGGGAACCATAGAGAACACAATCCCAGATCGCCTCACTGTCATCATCAGTGTCATTCCTGCTTTAACATGGCTGCTCTTCTCCTGTTTGTTAGTGTTTCAAAGAAATGTGTCAAATGCAAAGAGGCGCCTGCAGCTTTGGTCATCAGAGCAGGAGATGCGTACTGCAGGTAAGCTGCGCAGCATTTCTACATGTAGAGCTGTGAGAGATAACACTGAGAGCTCATCTGTGGTGGCTGGGGTGTTTTTAAGGTAAGCAGTGTGCCTCACTGCAGGGATACATGACTGCATCTGTGATGACGGTGAGCGTAGCCACCACCGTGCGCTCATGGACAGTGGAACAGACCAACTACAGGGTGGGCCGTTTCTATGGATACACCGTGATAACATGGGAATGGTTGGTGATATTAAAGTCCTGTTTGTGGCACATTAGTATATGTGAGGGGCAAACTCCTCAAGATGGGCGGTGACCATGGTGGCCATTTAGAAGTCGGCCATCTTTGATACAACTTTTGTTTTTTCAATAGGAAGAGGGCCATGTGACACATCAGACTTATTGGTAATGTCACAAGAAAAACAATGGTGTGCTTGGTTTCAACGTAACTTTATTCTTTCATGAGTTATTTACAAGTTTCTGAACACTTATAAAACATGTTCAATGTGCAGCCCATTGTGTTGGATTGTCAATGCAACCCCCTTCTCCCACTCTTCACACACTGATAGCAACACCGCAGGAGAAATGCCAGCACAGGCGTCCAGTATCCGTAGTTTCAGGTGCTGCACATCTCGTATCTTCACACCATAGACAATTGCCTTCAGATGACCCCAAAGATAAAAGTCTAAGGGGGTCAGATCGGGAGACCTTGGGGACCATTCAACTGGCCCACAATGACCAATCCACTTTCCAGGAAACCACACCAAACCATCACTTTTGTTGGTCCAACAGTCTTGGAGGGATCCATCCACTGTGGGTTAGTGTCAGACCAATAGCGGTGGTTTTGTTTGTTAACACCATTCACATAGAAGTTTGCCTCATCACTGAACAAAATCTTCTGCGTGAACTGAGGGTCCTGTTCCAGTTTTTGTTTTGCCCATTCTGCAAATTCTGTGGCCGATCTGGGTCATCCTCGTTGAGATGCTGCAGTAGCTGGAGTTTGTAAGGGTGCCATTTGTGAGTAGCTAATATCTGCCGAAGGGATGTTGGACTAATGCCACTCTCCAGTGACATGCGGTGAGTGCTACACTGTGGGCTCTTGCTGAATGAAGCTAGGACAGCCACTGATGTTTCTTCATTAGTGACAGTTTTCTTGCGTCCACATTTTGGCAAATCCAACACTGAACCAGTTTCACCAAACTTAGCAAGCAGTTTGCTAACTGTAGTATGGGAGATGGGTGGTCTCGTAGGGTGTCTTGCATTGAAATCTGCTGCAATGACCCGGTTACTGCGTCCACCAGATATCAACACAATTTCGATCTGCTCCTCACGTGTTAACCTCTTCGACATGTCAATGGCTGTGAACAAAGAGAAACTTGTAAATAACTCATGAAAGAATAAAGTTACGTTGAAACCAAGCACACCACTGTTTTTCTTGTGGCATTACCAATAAGTCTGATGTGTCACATGGCCCTCTTCCTATTGAAAAAACAAAAGTTGTATCCAAGATGGCCGACTTCTAAATGGCCACCATGGTCACCACCCATCTTGAGGCGTTTCCCCCTCACATATACTAATGTGCCACAAACACGACTTTATATCACCAACCATTCCCATGTTATTACGCTGTATCCATAGAAACGGCCCACCCTGCATAACTTTGCTTGGCATGATGCATCCAGCTCAGCCAGACTGGCTCTGGCCTGTTTCCACAGCCCACCACAGATGCTTCTTTGTCAGGTGGACTTCCTCCCTCAGTGGAGACGCGCGGCTCAGGCTGGTGAAGAATAGACGTACACTGGCTGCTGAGAACACAAAAGTTTTTTCTGTACTGTGAGCCCAGCACAGTTTCTGATGTTTGAAAGAAATGCGTTTGTACATGGAGGTCATGTGAGGTGTTAGCGTGTTTGCAGTGGCTGTGCTCACATCCTGTTTCTGTGTCGTTCAGGCTCTGTTTCAAAGATTTCTTCATTCACAAGTTCAAAGCTGTGCTCGGCAAGAACAGGATCATTTTCCCCGGAGAGAAGGTAAGTCGTTCCTGACTCAACACAACAAAATTCACTTTGCTCCATTTTATTGTCCGAGTTTGTCTTTGAGCCAGAATAATCAGCAGAAGCTGGAAGTGTTTGTGACAGCGTCAGAACTGTGTGCCTCCTTTGATCCAGGTCCTGCTGGCTGTGTCCGGAGGCCCTTCTTCCTGTTCAATGCTCAGACAAGTTCAAGAGGTGTGTCATTGTCACCACAAGTCATTTCACTTCAGTTTTATTTATATAGTGCAAATCACAACAACAGCTGCCTCCTTATAATGTAAGATAAAGACCTTACTATCATACAACAGAGAAAAGCCCTGCAATCAGTAGGACAAGCAGTTTGGTGACAGTGGGAAAGAAAAACTCCTTTTAACAGGAAGAAAGGCTCAGGGAGGGGCGGGGCCATCTGCTGCTACTGCAGGGGTGGGCAACTCGAGGCCTCGAGGGCCGCTGTCCTGCAGGTTTAGATCTCACCCTGGGTCAACACACCTGAATCGCACGATGAGGTCATCAGCAGGCCTCTGGAGAACTTCACGACATGTTGAGGAGGTCATTTAGCCGTTTGAATCAGCTGTGATGGATCATCATCTGAAAGCTGCAGGACAGCGGCCCCCGAGGCCTGGAGTTGCCCCCCACCCCTGCGCTGCTGGTTGGGGTGAAAGAAGAAAGAGGGGGCAAAGACTCGCTGTGGAAGAGAGCCAGAGGTTAATAATAAGTCATATTTAAATGCAGAGAGGAGAAACACCCAGTGCATCATGGGAATCCCCGGCAGCCTACGTCTATTGCAGCATAACTAAGGGAGGATTCAGGGTCACCTGGTCCAGCCCTAACTATATGCTTTAGCAAAAAGGGAAGTTTGAAGATTAATCTTGAAAGTAGAGATAGTGTCTGTCTCCTGAATCCAAACTGGAAGCTGGTTCCACAGAAGAGGGGCCTGAAAACTGAAGGCTCTGCCTCCCATTCTACTTTTAAATACTCTAGGAACAACAAGTAGGCCTGCAGAGCGAGAGCGAAGTGCTCTAATAGGGTGATATGGTACTACAAGGTCATTAAGATAAGATGGGGCCTGATTATTTAAGGAGCAGGATTTTGAGTTGATGCTGGATCCACTGTTGTGGTAGAAAAGCATGAAATATTATATTATAGTCTATCAACTTCTTAAAACCGGCATTAAAATATCTCTAACTGCCATAAATAGTTAATGATGTTCTTCACAGGGTTTAAGTCAGAAAGCGAACAAGAAGCTGAGATTCGTGCCTGGCGTTGCCTTCATCGACGGTACGTCTGGCTGCACACGGACAGTAAAGGCTCTTCTCTTCTATTTCTGCGTCTCTGGTGACGTTTTTCTGAAATGATTCTGGCTAAAAAAGAAACCTTGTAAAGGGGTGTGTCTTTGTTCCCAGAGGGTGCTGCGATAGGTCAGTCGGTGGAGGAGCGACAGAGGACAGTGGCTGAGCTCCAGGCAGTGTTTCAGGCTACTGGTTTCCCCTTCTACATCTTACCTCTGGAGCAGGTCTGTGTAGAGCCGGCCGAGCCTGCTGCTCTTGATGTTAATTAGACTGAAGCTGGTCACAGAGCGGTCTGTCTGAACCAGCGTCTGTGTTAAATATACGCCGATGTTCTCTAAGGTGCTGGACCTGCCCGCTTCGGTCGTGGCGACCAATCCGTCGCCCTCAGAGCAACCTGCCAGCGCCTACAAAGCAGCCGTGCATCACTTTGTCGAGACTGACGGCAGCAACTTTCCGAGGCCACAAGAACCAAAGAAGACGCTGCTGCCTCGCGTTCAGGAGTCGCACACGCTGATGCTGCAGCAGCTGCTCGGTTCAGTTAAAACGCTGACGGCCAGAGAAGAGCTGCTGAACACACTAAGGTCAGGCGTCAAGCACTCGCTTCTTGTGATGCTTTTGCTGCTTAGACACGAAACGGTTCTTTGATTCCCGACTGAGTTTGTCCACCACGTGAGCCCCTGACCTGACTGTGTTGTGTTCCTCAAAGGCAGCATCTGCTGGTGCACACAGCTCGTACAGAGGGCTACAGCAAACTGATGCTGGGAGACAGCTGCACCCGACTGGCTGTTAAACTTCTCACCAGTATATCACTGGGCAGAGGAGCCCAGCTGGCCCAGGACACAGTGCGTATACCTCGTCGCCTCGTGTAAAGGATCAGGTCGTATTCCAGCATTTAAAGTTTGACTTAAAGCAAATCTGCTCTTAATGCTGTCGTTGTTTTAAACAGGGTTTCTCTGACTCCAGATACGGTGACATCATATTAGTGCGGCCAATGAGAGACTACTCTGCCAAAGAAGTAGCTTACTACAACCATCTGTTCACTGTGCCCTATGTTGTTATTCCAAGTGTGGACACGAAGGTAAAGCATGAAACATTCAAAGTGTGTGAAAGGCTTTAATGTGCAGCAGCGTCAGAGCAGCAAAGCAAACGCTCCAGTCACAGCTGGAACAGCTGTCAGTCACAGCTGGAACAGCTGTCAGTCACAGCTGGAACAGCTGTCAGTCACAGCTGGAACAGCTGTCAGTCACAGCTGGAACAGCTGTCAGTCAGCCTGTGGGGGGCGCTGCAGGCGCTGCCAGCTCATTGGACGGCCTGTTCACGTAGTACAAAAACAAACAGGAAAACAGAAATGTTTCTGAAAGTGGTTTGTTTGTTTGTTTGTTTGTTTGTTTGTTTTAAATTTCATGTAACAAAACTGCAAACATGAACAGATTGTTTTCCTCCCTCTTAACTAACACACGGCTCGTCTGCGCACACACGTCTGCTGTGTTCACATCTAACACAACACAGCTACACACATGAGCCACAGCACGTTTGCACTCTGCTCATATTACATCCTTTACACAACTTGTTTTAACATTGCACTCAACAACAAACACAAAGTCACTTCAGGGACCGAACTGCATCATATTTCTTCATGTTAACATGCAGGCCGCAAGAGGGTGTAACATGGGCCACAAGTGGCCCCCGGGCCACGGCTTTGAGACCCTGCTTCAGACCTGTGTTATGGACAGCCTGTAGGACGTCGGGTTCAGGCGTGCGCCCCAGAACAAACAGGATTTTACTCTCTGATCCTGACTTCCACAAATAATCAAGGTTATTCATGAAACGCGCACCATCAGTACAGATGTGTGCAGATGTGTACAGATGTGTACATGACCTGTGCCGCTGTGCACTGTTCCCACGGGACAGTTTCTGCTTCCCTCCTTACATCTTTGAACCATTCATGTTTATTAATGTCCTTGTTCGAGCAAAGCGCTCCATCTTCTTTTTCTTCCCTGTAACTAAACGACCTCAGATTAAATCCAGGCTTCTTCACCGGCTTATCAGGAAGAAGTCCCTTATTGTAGGTTCCTGGATGGTTAAGCTGGGCTTCATCATGAATACGATGGTTTGGCTTGAACTGTGTGAGCAAAGCTCTCTCAGAAACTGCGCGAGGGGAAACGAGGCTGCTAAACTTTGGCAGAGACAGAAATGGGTGTTATCACAGACGGAGGGAGGTTTTCTATGTTTGACATATTTGTTATCATCACCTGAGACGTCAGGACCTTTGCTGTGTGCATCGTCTCTTCCTCTCCTTGCGCCTCCTCCAGGAGTCTCAGGGTTTCCAGCCTGTGTACAGTTTTGTTGCTCTGTGCTCCACAGACGGTGGATAAGGCCAGCATCCAACGTCTCACAGAGAGTTTTGTCACCAAACTGCAGACAGACTTCCCCTCCACTGTCAGCACCATCTACAGGTTGCAGTTACACACATGCTTCATGCACATCAGCGCTTTGAACATATCATGTGTGCTGCAGGTTTCCTCAGACAGTCTCGCTGTTAAACCCAGCACGTGTGTTACGCAGGACCAGTGAGAAGCTGCAGACTGCATGTAGGAAAAGGTCAGGAGCCGACGGCTGTGACCGATGTCTGCTGTGTCTGTGCAGCCTGGATACTGCTGTGGGTGAGTGAGGCGCTCCACAGGCAGCGCCAGCCTGCAGATCACTGACACACACAGGAGTAACTGTGCACATTACAGTGCTCCACTTCAGCTTTATTTATAAGCAGGGCTGCACATAAGGGGTCCGCAGGTGCGCAATGACTGTCAAAATAAAAGACGCGCACCAGATAAGAAGTTGCAACGCGCGTTTGGACTGTGATTGTCCGCTAGAGTGGGAGTGGGATTGTCACGGCACATTCTGCACCACATCTCCGTGCGCTCATCGTTTGTTTGAAGCCAGCTCACCTCCTGCAGCCACTTCTCCAAGAATACGCGCTTCTGTTGCGGTTCGGACGCCTGACATTTCTTTGGAGGTGGAGCAACACCAACGTAACTGCTTAGAGGAGCTTTCTTCTTCGACATCCGTCAGAGTTCTAAACAAATGTCTGTCCTCCTCTCATGTACGCAAACGCGCGTTGCAACTTCTTATCTGGTGCGTGTCTTTTATTTTGAAAGCGAACCACTGGATTATATCCCTCTAAATGTGGAAACAAGGCCAAAGTGCTGCAGCCACAGGACTGTAATTACAGCTTTGAAGATTATGTTTTCTTTCTTGCTCACATTCACAATGTTAATAACAGACTGTGGAGCAGTTCATACAAACATCTTTGAGCACAGAGCAGCAGAGCTCGCGTGTCAGAGCCCACATGGTCCCATCAATAATGGATCAATACTCTGTCATAATCAGGAAAAGACCAGCAGACGCCATTTCTGCTACAGCTCAATAATCATGTAGAATAACGGTAATATTGTGGTAATGGCACGTTATGACCACCTAATTACAAAGTAGTGTGAAATACCAGTGTTATAGCTGCTGTGGTAATAAACATATTAATAATAGTGTAGTAACACTTAATGCTAACAGCATCGTCTAATATCTGTATTTAAATCTGTTTATATGCTGACTTGTGGCAGTGACCGCACAGGGTAACACTGGATTATGAGGCTCTAGGCTGCTGTTCATTGTTAGTGTTATAATCCTGGGATGAAGTCTCTGGTGAAAACCATCTGCAGGACATCGTTCTGGTTCAGGACGGCGCGACTGAACCGGTCTGTCTTCATCTTTTCAGAGGCGGCGTCGGCCTTCCAGGCCACGCTCATATCAGATCAGCTGTCCGGGTCCAAGTGTCTGCGAGGCAGCGCTGCTGAAACCCCGAGGCCAGAGCCAGGTACAGTGACTGCTTCAGAACTGAACAAGCTCCACTTTACATGGATACAAAGCTGTGTTTTTACGACGGCTTCTGTTAAACAGGGAGGCCGGAGTCGCCGCCTCTCACCGCACAGTGCTGTTCCTCTGCAGAAGGGCGGGGCTGTGGGAGAGCAGGAAGTGATGGAGGCTGCTGTTCTTCTGCTAAGTAAGTGTTTATTTTCTCTTTTTCAGACATATGTGGCAAATGTTTGCTAAACTGTATGAGGTGCATCCACTAGGTGCTGTGTCACACTCTGACACATTTCTTTGATGAGAGTCGGTAATGTAAGAAATAAGCTTTGACATTTTCTTCACTGGCCTGGCTTCTTGGTTACCTCTAGTTTAATCCCTGCTTATTTTGAGAATGCTGTAATGTTTAAAAATAAGAGCTAGGATTGGTCCTTCTCAGCTCGATTGATCTGTAACTGCTAAGGTTTGGAGGAAAGCTCGTGGCTAGGCAAGTTCAGGTTTCTTGAGATAATTGCAACCACAGGCCCCTCTGTGGGTATAAGACCTGTAACATTACAGGGTAATCTATTACAGTGGCAGCATGCTGTCATTTGGACACTTTCATGCTTTCATTCACACGTGCCTGCAACAAAGTGTTTGAGATTATATCCTGTAGGATGGATTTCATCTAAAAACCAGTCAAGTCCTAAAAGTGAACTGGGAGGAACGTCTTCCACATTTCTTCTTCTGTGCATCGTGTGCTCGTCTGCTGTTTCCTTTCTTCATTGAAACAGTTTTTGAAGCATCGACTGCAGACTCGTCCCTGTGGGTGCTCATAGCTGAGCTTTCTGTATTGCACTTGTATTACAGACTACCAGAAACAACACGTCTGAAGAGCCTGTTGTGTTACAGCTGTGCACTGACTGTCAGAGACATGGTGAGTGATGACGTGTTCGACCCTTTCATGCATGAATTATGACGACCGTTATTCTTCTTTAGGCATAAAAAAGATTTTTGAACTTGTACTTTTCAAAGACTTTGTTACACTTAGATGGACGCTGATGTGCAAGTGCGCCATCAACACTGACACAAATACATGGAAACGGCTGTCCACTGCAGCGAGGTCAGGGAGAGCGGGGTCATTGCTGTTTTTGTGTATTTGTTGGAGTTGTGGCATCAAGTAGCAACACTTCAAACATTATAACACATACCTGTGACTCAGACGTAGTCAGCCATCAGCGCAGCGAACAGGACGACCGTGAGCAGCACACACCATGTTTGGTATGAACCAATCAGAGTGTGAAGATCTGACATCCAGCCTGTTTGTTTCCTTTCCAGTCGACAGTGAATCACCTCCCTCAGTACATCCTGTCAGAGGCTCAGAGGAGGCAAAGGAGGTGGGGGCTGTTTGTTTCACTCTTCTTTGACGGCGTTTGCATCATAGTTAGGAACAGTTCCTCACTCTGAGGGCAGTTTGCAGACCTCCCTGCGTGATACTGACACTGTACCCATGATGTGATGTAAAGTATGACGTCATATGTACGGTGGCTTTGGGAAAGCGTGTTGGACAGTTTGAGCTGCGTGTTTGTCGCGGTCCTCTTTGCAGTCACCCGCCCTGAAAGTCGTCTGTGTTAGTTAAACTGACCACAGGTAAAACGTGCTGATGTGTAAAGACTGGCTTATTTAAAAAATAAAGAAGCATCACAAGGATGTAGTGCTGTTTCCTATTTTGTTCCAACCAAACAACGTTGTTCCAAATCGCATCGTTTCCACTTCTTTCTATGATCGTCTGTCTGCCAGCTGTGCTTTCTTAGGAATACAGATGTTGCATTTACAGTGAGACTGCAGGCGATCGAGGGCTGACTGGGTCGTTGTGCTCTGCAGGTCTCAGATGAGAGAGGAGATCAGTGACTTCCTGCTGGACGATGGTGACGAAGGAAATTAGAAACAAAAGGAGAAGCCCCGCCCCCCACGCCAGAAGAGGGTGGAGGAAAGGTTTCTTCAAGGAAACTGGACACCGACACTCACACTTAAGCTCTGCAGGAAGGAACCGAGTTCATGTTTAACAATCACATCATTAGAGATCGTGTGTGTGTGTGTGTGTGTGTGTGTGTGTGTGTGTGTGTGTCTGTGTGTGTGTGTGTGTGTGTGTGTGTGTGTGTGTGTCTGTGTGCGTGTGTGTGCGTGTGTGTGTCTGTGTGTGTGTGTGTGTGTCTGTGTGTGTGTGTCTGTGTGTCTGTGTGTGTGTGTCTGTGTGTGTGTCTGTGTGTGTGTGTCTGTGTGTGTGTGTGTGCGTGTGTGTGTGTGTGTGTGTGTCTGTGTGTGTGTGCGTGTGTCTGTGTGTGTGTGTGTGCGTCTGTGTGTGTGTCTGTGTGTGTGTCTGTGTGTGTGTCTGTGCGTGTGTCTGTGCGTGTGTGTGCGTGTGTCTGTGTGTGTCTGTGTGTGTGTCTGTGCGTGGTGCGTGTGTGTGTCTGTGTGTGTGTGTGTGTGTGTGTGTGTGTGTGCGTGTGTGTGTGCGTGTGTCTGTGTGTGTGTGCGTGTGTCTGTGTGTGTCTGTGTGTGTGTCTGTGTGTGTGGTGGTGTGTGTCTGTGTGTGTGTGTGTGTGTGTGTGTGTGTGCGTGTGTCTGTGTGTGTGTGGTGTGTCTGTGTGTGTGTGTGCGTGTGTCTGTGTGTGTCTGTGTGCGTGTGTCTGTGTGTGCGTGTGTGTGTGTCTGTGTCTGTGCGTCTGTGCGTGTGCGTCTGTGCGTGTGCGTCTGTGCGTGTGTGCGTGTGTGTGCGCGTGTCTGTGTGCGCGTGTGTCTGTGTGCGTGTGTGTGTCTGCGTGTCTGTGTGTGTCTGTGTGCGTGTGTGTGTGTGTGTGCGTGTGTCTGTGTGCGTGTGTCTGTGTGGTGTCTGTGTGTCTGTGTGCGTGTGTGTGTGTGTGTGTGTCTGTGTGCGTGTGTGTGTGTGTGTGTGTCTGTGTCTGTGTGTCTGTGTGTGTGTGTGTGTCTGCGTGTCTGTGTGTCTGTGTGGTGTCTGTGTGTGTGCGTGTGTCTGTGTGTGTGTGTGTGTGTGTGTGTGTGTGTCTGTGTGTCTGTGTGTGTCTGTGTGTGTCTGTGTGTGTGTGTCTGTGTGCGTGTGTGTGTCTGTGTGTGTGTGTCTGTGTGTGTGCGTGTGTGTGTGTGTGGAGCAATCTTGCATTCTTTTAAATGATTTAGTTCTTTTCTTTGAGCTGAGTCTTCTTGCTTCTGTTCTCGTACAGATAAGATTGTATCATGAATGTGACAACATGTAACATTAATCTCTTTATTTCCATCACATGTCCTTAATAAACCTTCACATATCAAAAAGACAATATGGCAGTGAGTGGAACTATAGCAGGAGTCCATCTCCTCCTTGTGTGACTGACTGTTTACATCAACACAAATCAAACACACACAAAACAAAGTTTTATTCAAACACATTCAGTCGATCATGTCGTCAGAAATCGTTGAATTTCGATGAAACATTTAAAAACTGCGTTTTGTGTTTTTTATTAAAATCTACTAAAACTCCACCTGTGTCTGTGTGTGCGTACTTTACAGAGAAGTTGTTGTTATGGTAATAAAAATAAAATTTTTATCATTAGAGAAAAAATTACCAGTAATCATCCCACAGATGTAATATTATCTACAGCTACTTTCAGTACATTGATGTTAAGTTAGACTCTTTTTCTCTAATTGATCTTTCTGGGTTAACTTCAATAATTACTTCCTCCAAACCATCAACGTGTCTTTTAGACCCCATTCCTACAAAACTGCTCAAAGAAGTCCTGCCATTAATTAATGCTTCGATCTTAAATATGATCAACCTATCTCTAGAAAGAGAGAGCAGATTTCTCCTGTTTTGGCTTCCTGTTAAATCCAGAATTCAAAATCCTGCTCCTCACATACAAGGTCTTAAATAATCAGGCCCCATCTTATCTTAATGACCTTGTAGTACCATATCACCCTATTAGAGCACTTCGCTCTCGCTCTGCAGGCCTACTTGTTGTTCCTAGAGTATTTAAAAGAAGAATGGGAGGCAGAGCCTTCAGTTTTCAGGCCCCTCTTCTGTGGAACCAGCTTCCAGTTTGGATTCAGGAGACAGACACTATCTCTACTTTCAAGATTAGGCTTCAAACTTTCCTTTTTGCTAAAGCATATAGTTAGGGCTGGACCAGGTGACCCTGAATCCTCCCTTAGTTATGCTGCAATAGACGTAGGCTGCTGGGGGATTCCCATGATGCACTGAGTTTTCCCTTTCCAGTCACCTTTCTCACTCACTATGTGTTAACAGACCTCTCTGCACTGAATCATATCTGTTATTAACCTCTGTCTCTCTTCCACAGCATGTCTTTATCCTGTCTTCCTTCTCTCACTCCAACCGGTCGCAGCAGATGGCCCTGCCCCTCCCTGAGCCTGGTTCTGCTGGAGGTTTCTTCCTGTTAAAAGGGAGTTTTTCCTTCCCACTGTTGCCAAAGTGCTGCTCATAGGGGGTCATATGATTGTTGGGTTTTTCTCTGTATCTATGAAGCGCCTTTAGGCGACTTTTGTTGTGATTTGGCGCTATATAAATAAATAAATTGAATTGGATGGTGTCAAAGGGTGAGTGTCAATGAACTGAATGGATTTTGGGCTGTATCAGGACAAAAACTTCATGTGGATACTTTCCAGATCCAGTGTGTGTTAGTGCTGAGAGCGCTCTTGATGCTGCTGTTTACAGATGATGACGGACATGTTAAAGTAACTTTAAGGTTAGGGATTGCAGCTCGAGGTGGTACATGAGAAACCAGATGTTCTTCTAAGTTCTATCTTTAATGGATGTAGCCTTTTCAGTGGGAGGAACATTTCCTCGGTCTCTGAGGCTGTAATGGTCTACAGTACCTGCAGTGACCGGTCACATATCGAATGCATCATCAGTTACAGAAGGGTAAACATTTGTTGTTACTGTTGCAGCTAACCACAACCCAGTAAAGTTAAAGGCTCTTCTAAACTGATTCCCAGTTTGAACTGGGTTGAGTGTGTGGTTTGAGATTGGCTTGTATACCTGAAGCTCCTTCCTGTACCATCTGACTGGGGCTCATGGGATCCCTCTTCACCCAGTACAGAAATACTCTAACATTTACTGGCCAGCCATTATTTGGGCAACTGCAAGACATTTGTACTTTGAAGCAGATGAAGACATTTAGGAAGTACGAACATCTTGATAGAGTTGAAAGAGGCGAAGCCTTCCAGTGGTCCAAATCTAGTTTTAGACTTAATTGCAGAGCCTTAAAATGACCTGTTTGCCTAAATACTTGAATTTTCTGTGGCTTATCGTGAAAAGGTTAGATCCAATATGTCCTTGGTACGCACGAGAGATCTGCATTAACTCACTTTTCTGAATATATTTGAAAGTAGTGTCAATAATTGAAGGATGCTCAATCAGTGTAGCCCATTAGCACACTGGGAGGCTGGCCTCACACACAGCGAATGTAAGTCTGTAAATATTATAAAGTGTTAAATCCACTGTGTGAGTTCTATCTACAACTATGTTGAACACAATCTAATGATCTGATCATACAGCATCAACTTGCATTTAGGCACAATCAAGGAAACCTGAGATTCAAAGGTCGTCCATGATTTCCTCTGGGATTAATAAAGTACTCTGAGTCTGAAACCAACGGTCACAATGGGCAAGACAGGTCACTGAAATATCTCTGACTGTGACCGAGCTGTTATTTCCCATGCAACCATCCTCGGGGGTTCACAGAAGTGGAAATTTGCATCATGGATGTTTGTAGATCAGCCTGCAGCAACTGCACGGTGCCATCATCATGCCACCACGGTTGATCTAACCTGTAAAACATTCAGGCAGCTCTGAGGCCCAGTGAGTGTAGTCGATATTGCTACTTATTACTACAACTTACTAGTAAACGAGTTCAGTATTGTCCAGTCGTAATGCTCGTTGGCTCTCCAAGGATAACGAATGGTTCGATTTTACATGTATTGTGGAGGTAAACACAGACAACACGGAGCTCTTAGTTCTCACTCCTGCTTTATCCCTCTCCTCACATCAACTGAACACATGGTGCCACACAACACGGCAACACACTTCAACACTGGGTGTGAGTGCAGCCTAGTGGTCCACGCAGCATCATTCTTTTAACTATTCTCCAGTTCATGGTCACCGGGGGTGGATTTTAGTCTACGTTCACTCTGCAGGTCTTGATGCTCAAATCAGATTTTTTTGTCTGCTCGTTCACACCACAAATAAAATGCGACAGCAAACGCGCTCTAGTGTGAACGCTCAAAGCGGCCGCATGCGCAAAATAAGACGTCACACACCACGCGCTCTGTTTAGACCCAGAGCAACAGTATGTTTGACTGATGGCCTTAATATAAAGACTTCAGACTTTACGTTTCCCAATTTTTGCTTTAAGTTATTTTGTTATTGACATAATAATGTGAATAACCTAATAATGATCCTTATTGCTGTTTTAGAGGAGCGGTGCTTCAAAGGATAGCTGCAGATTTCTGTCAGAAGCTGCAGATTATACAGAACAAAGAAAATGTTCACGTTTCTCCAGCGTTGTCTTCCCAACAGTTTCACCGGATGGTCAGGAAGCGTTCGTGATGTCTTCTCCGGCGCCGATAATTGGCGTCTGTCTTGTGTCAGTGACGTAAAAGACGGATTTAATGCGACATGACCATCAAACAGCAGTCGCTTTCTGAAACATCAGATATGTATCTGATTCAGCACCACATACGACGGTGACCCCGGTCGGATTTGAAGATATGGGATTTGTGCCGTTCACACTGTCACACCATGATGGGATAGATGGGTCGCAGAGGGTCAGAAAAAACTGATTTGATGCGCTTTCACCTGCAGAGTGAACGTAGCCCAAGTTTCTCCTATGACAGTCGGCCTATTCTTTATGTTTTTAATGCAGGACAGTAGCACAGAGCCAGCTGCAAACTCTTCAGTTCAGGTACAGGTGGACATGACTTCGATGACCGTCCTATTAGCTGGGACGAGCCTGTGAAGATAGTCTAAGTTTGGGGACCTTTGCCCACAACTGAAAGACAAGTGTTGAAGTTACAAAGATGAACACAAAGCTGAGTTGCAGGTGTTTGAGTGCAAACGTGTCCTGAACTGAAACGCTCAGCG